GAAAGGAAGGCTAAGCAACACTTCCTTACAAATCCGACCGGCAAAAGGCTCAGGGGACGGCCAAGATTAACCTGGTGCAAATATGTGGAAGGAGTCTGTTCCAGACTCCAGTTGTTTTCTGCCGAAGCTCACTCTGGCACAGGATCGATCTGGAAGCTCTGTCTGACGCGTCTGCCTCCGTGAGCCGAAAGGAGATGCAGCGATGGAAGATGAAGATGAGCTCCTGGCTGATGGTATGAAAATAGAGATCAGAGCCTAGCCATTAACTTGATTAAAGAAAGGCGCCAGAAATGGTTCCATGATGAATGAGTAAAGAACACAGACATTCCAAGGGTTATAAAACCTCTTTCCTTTCCTCCTTTCCATTCGCTAAACACCGTTTCGAAAGCCGCATCATCGCATCCCGGGATTAAGACACGATCAGTCTCATCCCAAACGGCACGGGGTTGAATTGCCGGTCAGTCTTACCCTTTATCTCGAGGAAGCTCAGCGAACGAAAGAGCAGAAGAAACTCATTACAAATAGCATCAGTTAGCGACGTTGAGAACGAAAATGATTCCTGTGTTCCATAACCGTTTTCATCTATTACCTGTCTTTTGTTAACAGATACCGTACTACGCCGATAGCAAGGACGCTAGCGAAGCGCATATACTTCATATTCTTCTTCTTCACATAGTTTGGCACGGAATAAGGGAGTGCGCCAAAACTGCGGAATTTTAACCTACATCCGCAACAGTCTTGCATCTCAAGATAGCCAACCACCTGTTCGTTGGCGGGCTAAACCTGGTTAACTGGACCCGTTTGGAAGATGATCTTCAGTTGATGCATGGATCGTGGTTTGCATTGGGAGTGGGTCCGGTGGCATGAATGAATTAAGCTCTGCAGACACAAAGGCTCAAAGATGTAAGCATTTCTTAGCAATTGTTATGGAGTAGCAGACACAGCTGTACCGAACAAGTAGTGTTAGTCTCCTCTTGTTTGTTCATGCTGCTGTGTGTTCATTCTGCTGTGACAGCCTCTAATACGTTCTTCCTCCTTGTCCATTTTGTTTGTCTCCAGACAATTCTGCTAGCACAGAGTGGCTTCAGTGCGTGGATTCTTTGTTTGTGGTACTTTGAAACAGCAGAAAGCTTTCGTATACTCTGTTGAGACAAGCCATGATCCCGGTGCCAAATGAGATGCGCTGTGCAAACGGGAAGGAGGACACTCCCTCCGTTACTCCGTATTTAAGTATTTCAACGCCAAACTAAGACCTAAGTACAATTAATCTGTTGACATTGTTGTCGATTCTGGGCCAGGAACTGAACAAAAAACGAATCAGGCTTGTTGATTAATGGCTTGTGCCCAACTGCAGTACAACCCTATGACAGTCATGTTTTATTGCTCAGATCAGCGCCTCGTCACCGTCAACTAGTGGCATCCCCAGGGTACATACACATGGTGCTACAGACATGTAATTATACTTCGACACTTAGAGTTCATTCTTATGTTCTGAGTCTCGAGGTTGCTGGCCATCTCAGATCAAATATAGCATGGTTGCCTCCTGTTAACTGGGATCGTGATCCGTCC